CAACTCCCAACAGAGGAATCTGAGCTGGAGGGCAGAGAATGAAGCAATCCCAGAGCAGGGTCTTGACCCGAGGCCTGGAGATGCCTCTGCTAGTGGCCGGGGAAAAGCCTAGGCGTGTGCACAAAGATACGTGCGACCCCAAGCCACGAGCCTTCTTCCCCTGCCCTGACATCTAGTCTGGCTTTGGTCCTCAGGTCCATGAAGCCCCAAATTCATGTTTTTCACCTTCAAAATCCCCCTCAGGGCATATGTGACTTTGGTTCCCTGCTGCCTTTTCTGGGTTTCCACCTTTTCCTCGAGTTTGGACTGGCAAAGTCTTCTCTCTCATCAGTTCTTCAATGGTTTTAAGATTTCCAGGGTTTTTTTTTTTTTTTTTTTAAATCCTCACCCGAGGACATTTTTCCATTTTTTGTTCAGGTAGAGTAGGAGGGGGAGAGAGGAACAGAGAGAGAGAGAAACATCGATGCGAAGGGACACATCGAGTGGCTGCCACCCGCACGACTGACCAGGGCCGGGGACAAACTGCAACCGAGGTACATGCCCTTAGCGGGAACCGAACCCAGGTCTCTCGGGACCGCAGGCTGACGCTCTAACCGCTGAACCATACCGGCCAGGGCCAGGGTTTTTTTTAACCCCTTGTATTTTTCAGTGAAAAGGTGTGAAACCCCAGCTCACAAAACCCCTGGAGACGGTCCTCATCTCTTTTCTATTTAAATCCTTGCTCTTTGTCATAGTTCTCAGGCTCATGACTTAATTTTTTTTTTATTATTTTAAAATATAGCCCTGGCCGGTTTGGCTCAGTGGTTGGAGCGTCGGCCTGCGGACCAGAGTCCTGGGTTTGGTTCCCGCTAGGACACATACCAAAAAAAAAAAAAAGTTTGCATTGATTTTTTTTTTTTTTTTTTTTTAGAGACAGAGGAAGGGAGAGCGAGCTAGAAACATCAGTGTGAGAGAGATACGTGGGTCAGCTGCCTCCTGCGTGCCCCCTACTGGGGATCAAGCCTGAAACCCGGGCATGTGTCCTGACAGGGAATCGAACCTGGACCTGTCAGAAAACACTCAGTCTACCGAGCCACACCAGCCAGGCTGGGCTCATGACTTCAAATACTGTCTGTATGGTCACCCTTCAAGTTCATGCACTGAGCTAGAATTTTTTCCTAAACTTGTATATTGAACACCCTCTGCCATTTTCCACTTGCGTGTCTAATATGCACCCTAAACCAACACATCCCGAACTGAGCTCCCAGTTTGCTTCTTCAAAAATCTCGAAAAGCCTGTTCCTTCTCCGGAAATGATAGCTTCATGCCAAAAATGTTGGCATTGTTCTTGACCTTTTTCTTTCTGTCCCAATGTGCATCTGATCTGTCAACAAATATGTTAGCCCATCCAGTTCCCACCAGGTCCTCTGGCTCCACCCAGACCCCAGCACCCTCACCTCATATCCAGGGCATTGCAACAGCCTGGGCGTGGTCTGGGCTCAGCCCAGCAAGCAGCGTGATCAGGAGAAAGCAGATCACATCTGTTTCTTTTCCACTCGAGCCCTGAACTGCCGTCCCAACTGTGATAATGTGATGTATAATAAAAGATGTTTGTTTGTTCTTGTCTGATTTCAGGCACGGAGCTCCTTAAAAGCCTTGGAATTTCCTAAATGATCAGAGCGAGAAATGTCTTGTTAGATTAATGAGGTGAGTTTTGAAAAACACCTAAGGAGGGGGCTGGTTGCCAGGGGAACCAACCATGTGATTAGATGGTTGGAACCTTGAGTTCCAGCTTCCTGGCCAGAAGTTGATTCTATCACGTATGGTCAATGATTTAATCAGCCATGCCTATGTGATAGAGCCTCTAGGTGGAGATGTAGGGAGAGGGCATAGCACCCTTTTTTCTCTTCCCTGTCCCCAGCCCTATGCATCTGTTCCACCTGGCTGTTGATTTGTGTTCTTTAACATCCTTTAAAAATTTGTTTTTCTTTTTATTGATTTTAGAGAGAGGAAGGGAGAGGGAGAGAGAGATAGAAACATCGATGAGAAAGAACATCGATTGGCCACCTCCTGCATGCCCCCCCCCCACTGGGTATTTGGCAACCTGGGTCTGTGCCCTGACCAGGAATCATACTGGTGACCTCTTGGTGCCTGGGTCAACGCTCAACCACTGAGCCACACCGGCCAGGCTAACATCCTTTTATAATAAACCAGCGATCTAGTGAGTAAACAAGTGCTCTGAATTCTGTGAGCCTCTCTGGTAGAGTAATTGAAACCAAGGGGGTTGGGTCACAGGAACCTCTGAGCTATAGCTGGTGGTCAGAGCATATTTGACAACGAGGAGTGGTGACTGGTGTCTGAAGTGTGTGTGAGGGGCAGTCTTGTGGGACGGAGCCCATAACCTGTGAGATGTGACGCTATCTCCAGGTAGATAGTGTCCAGATTGAGTGAATTACCTGGTGATATGGGAAAACACACACACACACACACACACACACACACACACACACATCAGAATTGCTTTTGGAATTATAACACTCACGCATTGTGATGATTCATTTTATGTGTCAACTTGACTAGGCCACGGGGTGCACAGACATTTGGTCAAACATTATTCTGGGTGTTTCTGTCAGGGCGTTTTTGGATGAGATTAATTATTATTGTTTTTGGTATGCGCCCCTGGCGGGGACCGAACCTGGGACTCTCTGGTCCGCAGGCCGACACTCCAACCACTAAGCCAAACCGGCCAGGGCTGGATGAGATTAATTTTTAAGTCAGTAGAGTGAATGAAGCAGATTGTCCTCCTAATGTGGGTAGGCCTCTCTCAATCGGTTTTAGGTCTGAATAGAAGGAAAGGTTGACCATCCCTTGAGTAAGGGGAATGCCTCCTGCCTAACTGCCTTCCAGCTGGGACATCAGCCTTTTCTCCTGTCTTCAGACTTGAACTGAAATATCGGCTTCCTAGGTCTCAAGCCTGCTGGCCTTCAGACTGGAATGACACCACCAGGTCCCGTGCGTGGGTCACTTGCTGACTGCAGGTCTTGAGACTTGTTAACATCCACCATCACATGAACCGATTCCTGCAAAGAAATCCTTTTATATGTGTACACACATCCTGTTGGTTCTGTTTCTCTGGACAACCCTGAGTAATACACCCCGAGTGAAAGGCAAGTTCTCACAATAGCCTCCAAATCTCTTCACAGTCTGGCCCACGATTCCTTCCAGACCTCTCTTCCCACGTTTCCAACTTCTCACTCTGCTATGCTGTCACCTGCCTGCCAAGCACCTGGCGTGCATTCCCACCTTGGGACTGTTGGACATGCTCTTCGGCCTCAGGACTGATGGTCTCACTTTCTTCGTGTCTTTACTCAAATGTCCATGGGGCTGGCCCCAGCCACGTTTTAAAAAATCCCAGCATTCCTTCTTCAGTAATTCCCCTTAGGCGTTCCTGTTCTTAGTTTTTTCTTCTTCTTTTTTTTTTTTTTTGTTAATCCTCACGTGAAGATATTTTTTCTATTGATTTTTGGAGATAGTGGACGAGAGAGGGAGAATGAAAGAGAGAGAAAGAGAGAGAGAGAAACATCAATGTGAGAGAGATACATCAATTGGTTGCCTCTCGCACGTGCCCCAACCAGGGCCTGGGATTGAACCTGCAACCCAGGCACATGCCCTTGACCAGAAATCAAACCAGTGGCCCTTCAGTGCTTGGGCCAATGCTCTAACCACTGAGCACACAGGCCAGGGCTCCTGTTCTTAGTTTTTTTGCTTAAAATGCATCATTTTCTAACAGACCATTAAACATTTTTTTAAAAAAATTTTCTATTAAATGTGTTTCATTAAAAGGTGAGTTTTTTTTTTTTTTTTTTTTTTAATCCTCACCCAAGGACATTTCCCCAATTTTTTGTTCAGATAGAGTGGGAGGGAGAGAAAGGGAGGGAGGGAGGGAGGGAGAGAGAGAGAGAGAGAGAGAAACATCGACGTGAAAGGGACACATCGAGTGGCTGCCACCCACATGACCCAACCAGGGCCGGGGACAAACTGCAACTGATGTACATGCCCTTAACGGGAACCGAACCCGGGTCTCTCCAGACCGCGGGCCGACGCTCTAACCGCTGAGCCAAACCGGCCAGGGCAAAAGGTGAGTTTTTGACTCATCTTTTCCATCCTAAGGGCTTACCCTTTGCTGTATCTCCAGCCCTGAAGCAGGGTGGGGCACACAGCTGGTGCCACCAAACATGAGTTGAATGAGCAAATGCGCAGTACCCAGCACTGTCTCCTGTGCCTTTGACACGCATGAACTCCTTTAATCCTCAGGCAGTAATTCTAGTAGTGTCCTTATTTTATAGCTGAGCACAGTGAGGCACAGAGAGGCTAAGTGACTTGGGTAAAGTGGAACCGGTGATGGGTAAGGTGGTGGGTGGGTCTGCATTCCCACGCGGGCACTCCATGCCCTCACCTTACATTATCTAAACGCTGGCTCTTGGGTTCGCTTTGGGCATCAGTGCCAGGCAAGGGTCTGAGGCCACCTGGGACGAGGACAGTGATGGGAATGGGGACCCAGATCCAGAAAGTCGGGAGGCCCCCGGGGTCACTGGTGGTGCCCACAAGCCTCGTCCACCTGATGTATTTGTCCCTGAGATCAGACCTTCTCTTCAGACGGAGGAGACCTCAGCCACCTGGACCCTCAGCCCGTGTCCCTCTCAGACTGCTTCCATGATGTGATAGTGGGTTTAGTCTTTGGTCCCCCCAAGGGCCCAGAGGCTCTGATCCCCAGGGAGCTGGCCAGGCGGTGTTCTCTTTCCCGTGTAGACATAGGGAAGGTGCCGCCACCATGGAACATTAGGATCCTTCACAAGCTGGTCCCTAACTCACCAGATCAGAGGCCCCATGTGCAAATGGCGGGGAGGGGGACACAGTATGTTTAATCCCTCACTGCACTTCCCACAGCCTGTGGAGCCAAGTTCCCCTTCCAGGCCTGGTTACAGTTTTCTTTGCCCACAGCTTCCTGTTGGGGTGTCCTGGGCTCCGCCCCCCAGCTCAGCATTTCCCTCCCTGACACAGGAGCCTGGACCTGCTCCGCCCTGTGAGATGCAGACATGGTGCCCCTGCTGCTGCTGCCCCTGCTGTGGGGGGGTGAGTGGGCCAAGGGAGGGGGGTATGATGGTGGGGGAGGGGCGGGGGCTGCAGCTGAGCCTCTGTGTCCTCCAGGGTCCTTGCAGCAGCCACGGTATTGGCTCCGAGTGCAGGAATCCGTGACGGTGCAGGAGGGTCTGTGCGTCCACGTGCCCTGCTCCTTCCCCTACCCATGGAGTTCGTGGTCTTACTCTGGTAAACTCTACACCTACTGGTACCGGAAAGGGGACCATGTATACTATGATGATCCTGTGGCCACCAACAACCGCAATATACAAGTGGATACAGAGACCAGGAACCGATTCCTCCTTGCGGACCCCTCATTCAACAACTGTTCCCTGAGAATCAGAGACGCCAGGATGAGGGACGCAGGAACCTACTTCTTCCAAGTGGAGAAGGGATCTCAAGGGAAATACAGTTACCAAAATATGCTGAATTTGCAGGTGACAGGTAAGGCAGGGGCCCAGGGAAGGATGCCGACACGTGGGACCCGTCTTAGAGCTGAAACCAGACACCGGGGGACACTCTGTCCAGGCCCTGAGGCCCCGGTTTCTCTCAGGGTCACACTCTGGGTCCCCCTCCTCTGGAGCCCAGACATCTCTCTCTCCTCAGCCCTGACAGAGAAACCCAACATCCACATTCCGGAGCCTCTGGGGTCTGGCCGCCCCACACAGCTGACCTGCAGCCTGCCGGGGTCCTGTGAAGGGGGACGACCCCTCACCTTCTCCTGGGCGGGAGCCGCTGTTGACTCGCGGAACCTGCAGACCTCCCGCTCCGGGATGCTCACCTTTACCCCGAGGCCCCAGGACCATGGCACCAACCTCACCTGCCAGGTGAAACTCCAAGGATCTTTGGTGACCACGCAGAGAACCATCCAGCTCAATGTCTCCTGTGAGTGTTGGCTGGATGTCTGGGTCTCTGGGGCTGGGGAGCCACAGGGAGGTCCAGTCCTGGGATCCCTTTCCCAGAGGATGTTGGTGAAGTAAAGCCCCACCCCTTCACTTAGGGGGCTCCTGGGGCAAAGGGCAAACGTCCCCTTGGACTTCACCCCATTTTCCCTTCCCAGATGCTCCTCTTTTGACGATCAGCTTTTTCCAGGGAAACTCCACAGGTAGGAAAGATTCTCTCCTCTCTGGGGCACTGAGGGGAGAGGGGTCTCGCCAGCTCAGGACTCAGGCCTGGGCCTAGGGTGCTCACCCCTCAGCACCCTGGGTCTGGGTCCGTCCCTGCCCCCTCACCATCGTCTCACGACCACACGCTTTCTGTTGCTTTTGGCTGCTGCCTGTTCTTTTCTTGAGTTCTAAGTTTTCTTCACTGTGGTACAGCTTGCGTAACACACCATTTATCATCTTCACCATTTGTTGTTGTTGTTAATCCTCACCCAAGGCTATTTTTCCATGGATTGTTGTTTTTGTTGTTGTTGTTGTTTTTTAATAGAGTAGAAGGGAAGGGGAGAGAGAGAGGGAGAGAGAGAGAGAGAAAGAGAGAGATGTGAGAGAGACACATGGATTGGTTGCCTCTCCCACAACCCCGACCAGGGCTGCAGATTGAACTTGCAACCCAGGTACATGCTCTTGGTTGGGAATCGAACCCTCGACCCTTCGGTTGACAGGCCGATGCTCTAACTGCTGAGCCAAACTGGCCTGGGCCATGCTCACCATTTTGCAGGGGACAGCTCAGCAGGGTTAGAGCAGGTACAGGGTTGTGCAATCCACCTACGCAATTTCTTTCACCTCGCAGATCAGAACCTGTGACCCCATCCCACACCAACTGCCCATCCCCGTCTCTGCCCCCAGCCCCTGGCAACTGCATCTGCTTTCTGTCTCTATGACAGTGACAACTCCAGGTCCTACTTGTTCCTGCTCCCTTTTATAGAATTGCTGCCGTCACATCTGACACAAGTGGTCCTTCGTCTCTGATCTGCCAGCTCAGCCTGGGTCCCCCCCAATCTCTCTCCATTTTCCCTGGCTGGCTCACCCCGCCCGGTCTCCTCCTGTGATCCCATTTATGTCCTGACCAATCCTGATGCCCGCCACTGCATTGATCCGCCACAGATCCACCCTGGAGCCTCCTCTGGCTGCTGTCAGCCCCGGACGCACCTAGCCCAGGTGTGGTCTGACTCACTGGAGCTGACTCCCTTTCCACCAGCTGCACCCGAGTCAGCGAGTCTAGGAAACTTCACTTCTCAGATCACTTTCCTCTTTTCCATGCTCTGGTCCCCAGACCCCGTCCAGTCTTGTCCTCAACCCTGGAGCCCGTGGCCCCTGCCTCCTGCTCAGCATCCCTGCCTCCGGTCCAATCTCTCTGGTCCGGACCTCGCTTGACCCAGCAGGATCTTTCTAGACTCAGTGCTGATTCTCTGTTTCCGTGTGCATGGCTCCCTGCTGTGTTTAGGGGGCCTACTGCGCCCTGCGGGGAGCTCAAAGCTCCAGAATTTCTGAGCCTGCCTCTTCTCCACCATGATCAAGGGTTGGTGCTCCTGGGCGTCCTGCCAGGTTGCAGGTGTAGGTGCATTTTCCGTCCCCTGCAGGGCTGCTTCCGTTCTTCACACATCTCCACCTGAACTGCCCACCCCGTCTCATCTGTCTACCTCAGCTCAGCCTCCCTCTTTCTGGGAGCCAGGCCTGTCCAGCAGGGGCATTGTTTCTTTTCTTTTAAAAACAATTTTTTTTTTCTATATTGATTTTTAGAAAGAGAGGAAGGGAGAGGGAGAAAGAGATAGAAACATCGATGAGAGAGAACATCGACTGGCCGCCTCCTGCATGCCCCCCAACTGAGGATCAGGCCTACAATCAGTGCATGTGCCCTGACCGGGAGTCGAACCGGCGACCTCTTGGTGCATGGGTCAACCCTCAACCACTGAGCCACACCGGCCGGGCAGGGTCATTGTTTCTTAAGCCACGTTCTGTGTACCTCTCCGCCAGGCCTGAAGACCCTGAGCAACCACACATCACTGCCCGTCCCGGAGGGCCAGTCCCTGCGCCTGGTCTGTGTGGCTGACAGCAACCCCCCTGCCGTGCTGAGTTGGTCCCGGGAGAGAAAAGCCTTGAGCCTCTCCCAGCCCTCAGCTCCCGGGGTCCTGGAGCTGCCCCACGTGAGGCCTGCAGACGCAGGGGAGTTCACCTGCTGGGCTCAGCACCCTCTGGGCCCCCAGCATGTGTCCTTCAGGGTCTCTGTGCAGAGTGAGTTGTAGGACCGGTGCTGGGGTGGGCAGCCTGATCAGGCACGGGGGCTGTGGGTGGGATCGAGACCTGGGGACACCATGTCACCCCTTCTCCTCTTCCCCAGGAAGCCCCCATTCCTGCAGCTGTGAGACTGAGGAGCAGCAGGGCTCCTGGCCCCTGGTCATCACCCTGGTCAGAGGAGCCCTCATGGGGGCTGGTTTCCTCCTCACCTATGGCCTCACCTGGCTCTACTACACCAGGTGAGCGGGTCTGTCTTTCCACAGGGCGGTTCCGGTGGGGCTGAGTTCCAGGTGGGCCGAGCTGTCTGGCTATGCCCGGCGTCAGAGCGAATGTGGCTGATTCCCTGCAGGTATGGAGGCCCCCAGAGAACACGGCCGAGTTCCTGACTGCTTCTCCCTCTTGCCCAGGAGGGACTGAGGTGTGGACCCAGAGTTCAGAGGGGCAGTTGTGGGACAGCAATGTCACCTCCCCCGAAACTCTCGACTCTCCTGTCTCGATTGGATCCCTGGGATTGTAATTTGTGGAAGTGACTGAGTGACCACAAGGAGCGTCAATGCCATCAAAGAAGATTTATATGACTTCTATTTCCTACGAGGGTCTCCTCACCCCAGCCATGCCAGCGGGGCCCCGGGGAAGCACTAGGTCCCCCAGGAAGCAGACACAGGTGCAGGGGAAGCCAAGCCAGAGCCTTTATTGGGGTTTCCACGGGAAATACAAGGCGGGGCAGAATGAGCCCTTTAGGATCAGCTAGTGTGTCTACCTCTGGGGGAGCTGGGCCTGTGGGCGTGGTCTCTATTTGTCGGGTCCCAGGTCCTGGGGGATTTCGGGCAGGTTGGGGTGTCTGGATGGTGCTCAGGATGGCTTGGGGGGCCTCTGAAAGTCTGTTCCTGGCACAGTTCTTTGCTGTCTCTGAGAACTGGCAACCCCGGAGGGGCTGTGTCTCCTAGGCCTCAGCCCCACAAGGTACAGAAGATAAACGACAAGTAACGCACACCCACCGACCGGCCCCTTGTGCTGCCTGTGCCTCTCCCATTGGACTTGTTCTCTCTCTGTGTGTCGGTCGGGCCCTCATCCCCAACCCTCTGCTCCTCTCTCTCCATCCTCAGGCCCTGGAAGGGACTGAATTTGGGGCCTATCCTCCCGTTGTCCCGAAGTTGCCTGGTTCACACCTGAGTTTCGGGTCTCCCACACGGCCCCATCGGTGTAGTCGTCCGTACACAGTACATTTAGGAGTACAGCTCTTTCCCCGTTGAAAGACACCTACCTTGTAGCGATTACTATAGAATATCCTAATGTTTAATTATAAGTAAAAATCTTATCAAGTAATAGTGAGGTCACTATGTAGTGTCGGTGGGAGTTTCTGGAGCCCAAGTATGGGATCCTGAGACTGGCTGTGGTTAAGGGGGTGGTTGGGGGCCAAGCCTGGAATGAATGTGAGCCGTGAATTCAGTCCTCTCCTCTAGCGGGTGTCACCGAGTATAGCTCCAAAGTGTACAGAGCAGAATCCAAGTTTGTTTTAGCTCCTGAAGGACCACCAACGCCGCCCCTTTTCCTGAGCGCTAGTGTGTCTCAGATGTCTGAGTCGGGAGAGAATGGTCTTAGTTTTGGTTTTCTATCCAGAATTTAAATGACCCTTGCTGAGAAGATGAATGAAAGAGTTAATGAGAAGCCTTTTGAAATAGTAATGCAGCCTGGTTGGTGTGGCTCAGTGGTTGAGTGTCGACCCATGCCTCAAGAGGTCACAGGTTCTATTCCCGGTCAGGGCACATGGGCAGGTTGTGGGCCTGATCCCCCGTGGGGGGCATGCAGGAGGGGGCCAGTTGATGTTCTCTCTCATTGATGTTGCTATCTCTCTCTCCCTCTCTCTTTCTAAAATTAATAAAGAAAAGAAATAGTGATGCAGATGCAAAATGCAGCTTAGAATATATAGACAATAATTTTGTAATAACTCTGTATGGGGCCGGGTGGGTATTGGGAATATGGGGACACTTCGTAAAATTTGTGATTGTCTAACCACCATGTTGTACACTTAATACTAAGGCAGAATAATATTGAGTGTGCACTGTAATTGAAAAATAAAATGCTAATGAAAGAAGAGAGAGACTCTCTGGCCTGTAGCATTTTTCCTTGGTACATCAGTGTATCGATCATTCCCTAACCCCGAAACCCAATTCCTCCAAGGGCAAGGCAGGTATAGTAAAGTGGTGTAGTAGGCCTGTGGAACAGGAACTGATGGGGGTGCCCTGCCCAGTGTGGCTCAGTTGGTTGGGGTGTCATCCCATACCCTGCAAGGCGGCCGGTTTGATTCCCCATCAGAGCATGTGCAAAAGGCAACCGATTGAGGTTTCTCTGTCACATTGATGTCTCTCTCTCTCCGTCAGATCAGTTAAAAAAAAGAAAGGAAATGATGCGGGAAGTGTCGTGAAAAGCAGCTCCAACTTTACACTTCCAAAATTGGTATTAGCAATTACATGTCCTGTGACTTTCACCTCTACAAATTATGTCATCATTAGTTTATTTGGACAAAAGGCACACACGCGCGCGCACATATACACACTTCTCTCTGGGATGAATTCTGTGGCCCTTCTTGAATGTGACAACGGTTGCTTTCTTTGCCCAGTTCCTGAGTTTGGGTTGTATCCGGATGGCCCTTGTGCTCTGATGTGGGTCAGCCTAGTTCCTTCTCTGCCCCTGAGGCCAATTTTGCCTGATGCAGATGATGGGGCTATTTCCCCTTTTGTCCTCCGTGCATCTCTTGTGGTTTGTGATGGCAGCTTCCTCCCCTCTGAGCACCCCATCTGTTCCTCCCTCCTGACAGACAGGAGAGGGGGTGGCCTTAGGGTAAGGAGGCTGTCGAGGGGCCACATCTGCAGCTCCAGCTTCAGAGATGCCGCCAGTGTTGGGTGGTGTGAAGGTCACTGAGGACCAGGATGGGGGTGAGGTGGGGTTGATCAATCACCAGGGTTCCATGATTTACTTAATCCTGACTTTGTAAAGAAGCTTCCAACAACACCCAAACAAGATGGGGTTTGGGGAGCTTCGGCGTTGGTGAACACAAGTAGGTGCCGAGAGAGAGGCCCCTTACTTCATACTCTGCCCTCTGCACCTCCTCCACCTGGGTTCCCCGAGTCCCATTGTTTTGTAAGAAACCAGTGATCTAGTAAGAAACATGTTCTTTCGTTGCTGTGAGGTGTTCTGGCAAATGAATAAACCCAAAGGGGAGGAGGTCTTGAGAACCTGTCATTGATAGCCAGTTGGTCAGAAGCCAAAGTGACCATCTGAATCTGAGACTCTCTTCTGACTTGGATTGGAGAGGGGAGCAGGTTAAGAACTGACTCCTGAGCCCTGGCCGGTTAGGCTCAGTGGTGGCGCATCGGCCCCTGGACCAATGAGGCTCAGGTTCAATTCTGGCCTAGGGCAGGTACTTCGGTTTGGGTTGGTCCCTGGCTCTGGTTGGGGTCATGCGGGAGGCAATGAGTCGACATGTCCCTCTCAAGTCGATGTTTTTTTCTCTCTCCCTCCCATTCTGTCTGAAGATAAATAGAAAAATATCTCAGATGAGGATTAAACAACCAAACAGAAAAGACCTGATCCCTAAACATGTGGAATCTGATGCCATCTCCAGGTAGGTAGTATCAGAATTGAGTGGAGTTGCTTGGTGGTGTGGGAGCACCTCCCCACCACACCCCATCGCCAATGGAATTGGTCTCAGAATACCAGAACAGAGAGTTTACCTTCATTTTCTTGTCGTAAGTCTTCCGAATCTGGTGTGTGTTTTCCTCTTACAATACACCGTGTATTCTCTTACAGATCACATCCTACAGCACCCTTCAAGGGGCCACCTGCCCCGGGTGGCCACCGGCTCCCCTGAGGGACAGCACTGCTCTAGGACAAATGTGCAGGAGCTGAATTCTGGGTGTGGTGTAAGCCGTCCTCAGTTTAGCAGAGGATGCTAGTTTTCTCTGAAGCACTGGTACCAGTGTATGTTTCAACAACCACTGCCCCACACTTTCACCGACACTGGGTATCTTCAGACACTATAACGTTTTTCCACCTGGAGTCAGTGTAATAGTATCTAGTGTGTGTGTTTTTAAAAAATATTTTTCTTTATTGATTTTAGATAGAGAGGAAGGGAGAGGGTGAGGGAGATGGAAAAATCAATGAGAGAACATCGACTGGCTGCCTCCTGCATGCCCCCCACTGGGGATCAGGCCAACAACCTGGGCATGTGACCTGACCAGGAATTGATATGGCAACCTCTTGGTGCATGGGTCGATGCTCCTTCACTGAGCCACACCAGCTGGGCTGTATTGTCTTGTTCATGTATATTTGCAGAAATTCTTCTTATATTCTGGGGACTGATGTTTCAATGCTGACATATTTTGTGAAATTCTTCTCTTGTTTGTTAGCTGATGATTTAGTCCTACCTATGGAGTCTTTGAACATGAGTTCTTAATTTCAGCATAGTCCAAATTGTCAACGTTTCTGTTTATAAATAGTGCTCTTTATGTCCTGTTTGGGAATCCTGCCCTACCATAAGTTCATGGAGATAGCCTGTTATATTATCTTCCAACAGCTGTATTGTCTTTTTACTCGTCAAACAGTAGACCTTCAGTCCATCTGCGCTGATTCCTGTGCATCGTCGAAGCTGGGGTGCAATCTCTTTCAACATCATTTGGATCCCTCGGTGCCCACGCGTATCATTGAAACATTTATCACTTCTCTGTGTTCCCTCTGCTATCATGCGTGATTGTTGCTGTGGTTTGGGTCCATGGTGTTTCTGGGTGCCCGGTTGTGTTCCAGTGGTCTGGTGGTCTAACCCTTTGTCAACACAATACCGTCTAATTTTCTACAACTTTTTAATCAGTCTTGACATCTTAACGTGCCAGTCCTCATTCATTGTCCTTCTTCAGGATTGAGTTGGTTGTATCTGAAAAAATTCACTTCAATATACATTTTACAATAGCGGTAACGAGTTTCACAAAAGTCAACTAGGAGATTGAGTGACATATTGCTTTAATTCTGCAGATTGATTTGGGTACACTAGATGTTTACACAACATTGTTTTCATATCCACGAGCATTCATGTTTTCTATTTATTTACATCTTTAATGTCCTTCCAAAGAAATGTATCATTTCTCTCCACTGAGAAAGTGCATATTATATTTTTGTTATGTACATCTCTGAATAAATGTATTCCAGGTGTATCATCCTTTTTTGATGCTAACATCAATAGCATTTTTATAACATCCTATTTTTGTTTATGTCTGTGAAATAGGAATGCATTTGATTTTCCTAATTTGATTTTGTTTTTAGTAACAATGCTGACACTTATGAAGTTCCCAAATGTGTCTGTAAATACTTGTGGATATTTCTATGTGTACAGTTACTTATGAAAAAAGACAGCTTTGTTTTGTTTTCTATTGGATTAATTGGAGTGACACTGGTTAATAAAATTATATCAGTTTCAGGTGTACAATTCTATAATACATGATCTGTATATTGTGTTGTGCGTTCATCACCCCAAGTCAAGTTTCCAAGTTTCCTTTTATCACCATTTATCTCTCCTATATCCTCTTCTATCGCCCACCAACCCCTTCCCCTCTGGTGATCACCATACTGTTGTCTGTGCCCAGGAGTTTTTGTTTTTTTTCTTAATCCCTTCACCCTTTTCCCCCAGCCCTGCAACCCCCTCCCTTCTGACAGGTTTTGGTCTGTTTTCTTTCTATGAGTCTGCTTCTATTTTGTTTGTTAGTTTATTTTGTTCACTAGATGCCACATATAGAGTGAACTCATGGTATTTGTCTTTCTCAGACTGGCTTCTTTCACATGGCATAATGCTCTCCAGGTCCCTCCATGCTGTCGCAAAGGGTAAGATGTCCTTTTTTACGACTGAGTAGTATGCCATTGTGTAAATGTACCACGATTTCTGTATCCTCTCCTCCTTTGTTTCCAGTGTTCATGGCTTTAACTTATTGTTACTACATTTCTAGACTAGGACCTGCTGCTGCTGTATTAGGTGTGATGAAGACACCCGCAATGTCAATGGGGAAATCCTCCTGTATTCCTAGTTGGCTGTGACTTTTATTATGAAGGTGTTAGAAACCACTCAGTGCTCTTCTTTTTATCTCCTGAGATGTCATCAGTGAAAGGCCAATCAGAAACACAGATGCCACATTGTGTATTTCAGCAGCAGGAATTTCATGTAAGGGAGTTTTTTATGCCAGTGTTGAAACACAAAAGGAGCAGACAGGGACGCTGCTTGGAAGTCTTGGACCACTCTAATCTCATCCGAATACCCAGCCTGACCTTGCTTTGTTGTACTAGGTATTAGTATTTATGTAGTATTAAGTATTACTAATACTATTTAGTATAGGTATTTTTGAGATGTAATTGACATGTAACAGTATGTCAGTTTCAAGTGTCTAAGTTAATGGTTCAATGTATTGCAATATGTCTTGTGAACATCCATCACCACATAGAGTTACACACATTTTTCTTGTGATAAAAACTTTGAACAATCTTCTCTCTTAACACTGTACCTACTCTCTTGCCAATGTTCACATATACAGCACAGTGTTATGAACTCTATTATTATACAGTAGTTAATAACATTAGTGCCCACTATAATTAATATAGTCACCATGCTGTACATGAAATCCTCATGATTTAATTATTTTATAACCCGAAGTTTGTACCTTTGACCACCCTCCCCCATGCTACCTACCCCTGATCCTCTGCCTCTGGCCACCACCAGTCTGTTCTCTGTATCTATGAGTTTCATTTCTTTAAAAGTTTCTGCATACAAATGAAAGCATATGGCATTTGTCTTTCTCTGCCTGATTGCCTTCACTTAGCACAAAACCCTCCTGGTCCACCCAAGTTGTCACAAACGCAGCATTTCCTTATTATGGCAGAGTAATATTCCACTTTTCTTCACCCATTCCTTTATCGGTGAATGCCTACATTGCTTCCACATCTTGGCTATTGTCAACAATGCTGCAATAAATATGGGGTGCTTATGTCTTTTTAAGTTAATATTTTCATCTCTTCCCGACAAATACCCAGAAGTGCGGTGGCTGGATCTTACGGCAGCTCTATTTTTAATTTTGGGGAACTTCCATACCGACTACATAGTGGCCGCCCCAGTTTACATTCTCAGCAACAGTGCAAGAGGGTTCCTCTTTCTGAACATTCTTTTTTTTTTTTTAAATCCTCACCCAAGGTCATTTTTGCAGTTACATTCAGATAAATGCAAAATCTTGAGCAGGAGAAAGAGAGGAAGGAAAAGAGAGAGAGAAACATCGATGTGAGAGAGACATATCGACTGGCTGCCACCCACACGACCCCAGCCAGGGCCGGCGCCAAACTGCAACCGAGGTACATGCCCTTAGTGGGAACGGAACCCTGGTCTCTCGGGTCCGCAGGCTGATGCTCTAACCGCTGAGCCAAACCGGCCAGGGCTCTCTGAACATTCTTGCCAACACTTAGTACTTCTTGTCTGTTTTATAATCCCAGTTTGTGCTTTGCTGGACTGCTCAGTGATGTGAATTGTGGCGGCCCCACCTTGGAAATCCAGCTCTCTTTAGTCCTTTCTCGCAAGAGACAATCTTCCTGGTGATCTGTGAGCAGCCCGGGTAAGTGGATGGTGGAGCAGGTACCTCTTGTTCACCTGCATCTTGAGGCAGGGGCAGACGCAGGTTTTGTGGAGCCTGGTATTAATATATATGTTGAGATCCCAGCTTAGAAAAACAACTGAAAGTGTGGCACACGTGGATTTTTCTGAAATGAGAACACACATCACATCAAGTCAGAAAGGTGAACATGCTTAACACCGAAGAAAGACAACTGAGAAAAAGTTCAGAAGATTTTTATTAGCCGTATGGCCTACCTGCATAACACATATTCCCTACACTTTTTAAAAATGCTCAACTGAAGATGTGTTTATTGATTTTAGAGAGAAAGAGGAAAGAAGAGAGAGAGAGAGAGAGAGAGAGAGAGAGAGAGAGAGAGAGAGAGAGAGAAACATCAATGTGAGAGAGAAACATCAATCGGTGGCCTCCCTCCTGGACCCTACATGGGATGGAACCGGAAACCTAGGTATGTTCCCTGACTGGGAATCCAACCAGCAACCTTTGGTGTGTGGGAGGCTGCTCCAACCAACTAAGCCACTCAGCCAGGGACCCATTGCTTTTTTCTTTTAAATAATCTTTTTTCATCTTATGAATTAATTAATGTTAATTCATTTATCCTCACCCGAGGACAGGTTTGCATTTACCTTCAGACAGAGCGGGATGGAGAGAGGTGGGAAGAGAGAGAGAAACATTGATGTGAGAGAGACTCATCGAGAGTTGCCACCCACACAACCCCAACCGGGGCTAGAGACAAACTGCAACCGAGGTCCGTGCCCTGAGTGGGAACCAAACCCAGGACTCTCTGGTCCACGGGCCGGATCTCTATCCCCTGAGCCAAACCGGCCAGGGCCAGGGCCCCGTAGTTTTTGACTGATACTCTTTGATTGCCTCTCTACAGGAGATTAATTCTGTCATATTGTAATAAGTGTGAATACATATTAACAAACATTGTTAATTGTCATAATAATATGACATTTATATCATACTGAAAATAGAAGGAGAATCAGTATTTCCTCCAGCATGGATGATTGACTTTCCTTTACTCCTGTCCAGTTTAAGAAACGTTCTGTCATTCACACCACTGGCTAGGGGGATGCCTGAGCTGGTTCTCATCACCGTCACATTTGGGGAATCGTTTATCAAGGTTCTTTCTCTGCGCAAAGAGCTGTAGGGTTGCAGGTTGTTTCCAGACATGACTCAAGCCCTTGCTGGGCTTTGCAAAGGGACGGAGCACCTGAGAAGCCCCGAAGATGGACTGTTGGCGCTTTCAGGGGGCAAATGTGCCGCTGCGCTGAGGTCCAGCCTTTGGGGTTCCCCCTGTGGGGTGAGAGCTCCCTTCGCACACCCAGGGTTGAGGGCCTTGTGCACCCTTGCCGTCCCCCAGACCCCCAGACCCTGGAAAACCAGCACCTGTTCTTCCCACGTCACCACAGAACCCCGCAGCAAAGGGTTTTAATGGTCAGCTTTCTCTGGGTTCCACCTTCCCCTGGAGTTGGGTCTGAATTCCTCCCTCTCTTGCCAGCAGTGGAGCGATCTACGCGAAGGTAAACTTATTCGTTTGCAAGAATGTTCCATGGTTTCAGCTCCAGAAGAGTATCCCCCCCCAACCCCCCGGGCAACAGGACCAGCTCTGCCAGCGATCACCACTTGGGTGACCTCCACCTGGGTGACCTCCCTCTGGATTTGAACCTCATCTGTAAAGTGATCGCTTTCAGATTCGCATCCGGACAAGCGGCACACCCTCTGGGTCCTCGGTGTATGGGCTGCAGTGACCGGTGTGGGGAGGTGAGAGAGGGTGATTTCTCAGCTGTCTCCGCCACTGCACTCTGTGTCCTGTGGAGCCCAAGTTCCCCCCTAGGCCTGGCCGCAGCTCTGCAGCCCACGGCTTCCTGTTGGGGTGTCCTGGGCTCCACCCCCCAGCTCAGCATTTCCCTCCCTGACACAGGAGCCTGGACCTGCTCCGCCCTGTGAGATGCAGACATGGTGCCCCTGCTGCTGCTGCCCCTGCTGTGGGGGGGTGAGTGGGCCAAGGGAGGGGGGTATGATGGTGGGGGAGGGGCGGGGGCTGCAGCTGAGTCTGTGTTTCCCCAGGGTCCTTGCAGCAGCTCCGAGTGCAGGAATCCGTGACGGTGCAGGAGGGTCTGTGCGTCCACGTGCCCTGCTCCTTCCCCTACCCGTGGAGTTCGTGGTCTTACTCTGGTAAACTCTACACCTACTGGTACCGGAAAGGGGACCATGTATACTATGATGATCTTGTGGCCACCAACAACCGCAATATACAAGTGAATACAGAGACCAGGAACCGATTCCTCCTTGCGGACCCCTCATTCAACAACTGTTCCCTGAGAATCAGAGACGCCAGGATGAGGGACGCAGGAACCTACTTCTTCCGAGTGGAGAAGGGATCTCAAGGGAAATACAGTTACCAAAATATGCTGACGTTACAGGTGACAGGTAAGGCAGGGGCCCAGGGGAGGATGCCGACACGTGGGACCCGTCTTAGAGCTGAAACCAGACACTGGGACACACTCTGTCCAGGCCCTGAGGCCCCGGTTTCTCTCAGGGTCACACTCTGGGTCCCCCTCCTCTGGAGCCCAGACATCTCTCTCTCCTCAGCCCTGACAGAGAAACCCAACATCCACATTCCGGAGCCTCTGGAGTCTGGCCGCCCCACACAGCTGACCTGCAGCCTGCCGGGGTCCTGTGAAGGGGGACAACCCCTCACCTTCTCCTGGGCGGGAGCCGCTGTTGACTCGCGGAACCTGCAGAACTCCTCCTCCTGGATGCCCACCTTTACCCCGAGGCCCCAGGACCATGGCACCAACCTCACCTGCCAGGTGAAACTCCAAGGATCTTCGGTGACCACGCAGAGAACCATCCAGCTCAATGTCTCCTGTGAGTGTTGGATGGATGTCTGGGTCCCTATGGACGGTGGGACGGGCGTGTGCGTGTGCGTGTGTGTGCGTGTGTGTGTGTGTGTAGGAGGCTGAGCTAACCTGGAACACTTCTGCTTGGATCTGATGGTAGGTGGGGTGGGCCAGAGGGGCAGTATCCAATCTTGCCCGTTCCCACTGTCCCTGCTTGGGTTCCTGGTCGACTTCCATCCTGCACCTCTCTGAAGGGGGCCATATCTTTTTATCTCAGATGCCCCACAGAACCTCACCATAGACATCGCCTTCAGAAATGGCACAGGTAGGAAAGAACCTTGCCTCTGTGCGGCTGGGACCTGCCCTGGGGTCACTGTGGGGCAGAGCAGGGAATCCAAGTTGAATGGGTTCAGACATGAGAAAGACAAGGATGAAAGTCATCTCTCCCTCCCTCAGCTCTTGTGGGCAGGTGCCTGCTCCTGTTCCAATTCTCTCTCCCTGCATTTCTCTCCCCAAAGCCCTCAAGATTCTGCAAAACACATCACTTCCCATCCCAGAAGGGGAGGCTCTGAGGCTGCTCTGTGTGGCTGAGAGCAACCCGCCTGCACAGTTGAGCTGGGTCCGAGGGTCCCCAGCCCTGAACGCCACCCCCGTCTCCAGCACCGCGATGCTAGAGCTGCCTCGTGGCCTGGGGACTGCGGAAGAAGGAGAATTCACCTGCCAAGCTCAGCACCCACTGGGCTCCCGGAGTCTCTCCCTCAGCCTCTTGGTGTTCTGTGAGTGGGGGGATGGGGCACCTGGGAGCAGGACACCGGGGTCCTGGGAGTTTGGAGGCACCGCTGACCCTTCCCCTCGCACCCCACAGACCCCCCACAGCTGCTGGGACCCTCCTGCTCCTGGGAGGACCAGGGTCTGCTCTGCAGCTGCTCCTCCCGGGCCCAGCCGGCCCCCTCCGTGCGCTGGCGGCTGGGGGAGGGGCTGCTGGAGGGGAACCACAGCAATGCCTCCTACACGGTCACCTCCCGCTCAGCCGGGCCCTGGGCCAACAGCTCCCTGAGCCTCAGCGGGGAGCTCAGCACGGGCCTCAGGATCAGCTGCGAGGCCAGGAATGTCCACGGGGCCCCGAGCGCTGCTGTCCTGCTGCTGCCAGGTCAGGGCCTGTGGGGCAGAGGCCTGGGCAGACGGGTGGATCAGAGAGAAGATGCAGCTGGGGGCAGGGGCTGGACCGGACGCGGGTTATGGCTAGGACAGAACCTACAGCCGGTTCTACAAGGAGGCGGGAAGAGGAGAGACTGAGTCCTGTCAGTGGGTGGCCTCATGCCCCTCTTCTCTGCAGGAAAGTCGGTGTCTGCGGGCGTGGTGTCCGCTGCTCTTGGAGGTGCTGGTGCCATGGCCCTAGTGTCCCTGTGTTTGTGTCTCATCTTCTTTTGCATGTAAGCCTCTGTCTTGGGAGGTGCAGGGCACTGTGTGGTAGGGAGCACAGAGAGAGTTCACTGACTTTCACTAAATCAGAGCTTAGTCCCAGAAGGGACTTTTTAGGGGGTGGGAAAGGGTGTAGCAGCTTTATTGAGGTAAAATCCCCATATATTTAAGGTGTGCTATTCAATGGCTTTTAGTACAGTCACTGAACTGTGCACCCATCACTACAATTTTAAAACTTTTTCCTTAGCCCCAAGTACAATAAAAACATCGCTTAATCATTTCCCACCTCCACCCTCCCCAGCCCTAGGCAACCAGGAATCTATTTTTTGTTTCTCTAGATTTACCCATTCTGACATTTCATATACTTGGAATTATATGATACATGTGTTTTATCTTAAGGACAGACTTCTTTCTTTTACATAGCATAATATTTTCAAGGTTCATGTGTCAGCACTTAATCCTCTTAAAAAAATTTTTTTTCTTTATTGATTTTAGAGAGAGAGGAAGGGAGAGGGAGAGAGAGATAGAAACATCGATGAGAGGGAACATCAACTGGCTGCCTCCTGCATGCCCCCCACTGGGGATCGGGCCCACAACCTGGGCATATGCCCTGACCGGGAATGGAACCGGCGACATCTTAGTGCGGGGGTCGATGCTCAACCACTGAGCCACACCAGCGGGGCTTAATTCTCTTTTTTAGAAACAGTATTCCATAGTTTGGAAGGAGCACATTTTATTTGTCTGTTCATTCACTGACACACATTTGGCTTGTTTCTACTTTTTGGCTATAGAGTAACACTGTTACAATCGTTTCCATACAAGTCTCCGTGTGTGAGAGAGGCTTCGGTGATGAAAATTCAGTCTTGGCCAAAACCCTGGTCCTCCAGGGGGACGGAGTCCTCACTGGCATGTCAGGAGTGTCTCCCAGTCTGGTTGCAGGGTCTGGAGGCCTAGTTGTCTTATCAGGGAGTGGGGACAGCCTGCCCAGCTCTGCCTGAGCGTTCTGGCTGCTGACTTCTTCACTTAGAGTGAAAGCCCGCAGGAAGCCAGCAGCTGGGAGACCACAGGTCAGGAATAAAGAAGACGTCGTGATGGGCACAGTCACCTGGGTGAGTGATGCGGGTGTCCTCTCAGGCACTGTAGGTGGAGCCTGGGGATGTCCATGTGATGAGTCCAGTCTGAGCTCTTCAGCATTTCCCTGAACCTGCTCCTCTGTCATCAGCTGGGCAGACGGCTGGGAGTTGGCTTCCCCTTCTTCTCCCGCAGCCCACGGTCAGCCTCCTGCCCCACCCCTGCTGACCACTGAGCCCACCTCACCTCTCTGACAGGCACAGGCTGCCAGAACCACCTCCCCAAAACTATTGCTTTCTACCCATCCTGGGCGTGTTCTTCACCTCTCCTTACCTCAGTTTCCCCATCTGTAAGTGGGGATACTGAGAGTGTCATTCACACTGGGTTTCTGTGAGGATGAAATGTGATTAGTAAGCCCTCAATATGGTCTAATCGGCTGCAGTGTTACGAAGTTTGAAATGAATGAGCGCATCGTTGAGTTCCTAAGGAGTGCACGTGGGATAAGAGGATGAATGAAAAACTGTTCCAACAGCCGAAACCTCCCCTTTGGACCGTGTCTGCCTTAATCTTCTTTGACTCTCTTCTCTCCCCTTCATTCAGGGTCCCCAGAAAAATCCCAGGCCAGACAGGCCCCCACACCAAGCGCCACCTGCTGAGGGTGCTCCTTTGTCAGGAGAACCACAGGAACTCCACTATGCCAACCTCGCCTTTCATGGGTTTAAGCTACGGGAGCCTCAGGACCAGGGGGCCACCAGCACCTCTGAGTACACAGAGATCAAGAAGACAAGCAATTGAAGACTCGCTCAGAGGTGTTTAATTGAAGTATCAGGAGCAACCATAGAAAGCAGAAGAGAGCAAATGCTATCTTTAAATGTCACATTATAATTTACCCTTAGCAGAGATCATTTAAAAATGGGAAAGTAACACAGATAGTTTGGATCAAATAAATGGGGAAAAGCATTGCCTGTAGAATAAAAATATAGTTATTAAATACCTGGCAATAATAACAACTAAGCCCAAGCTGGTTGTGGCGGGGTAAGTGGACTTTACATTTTCTAATATTTACGTAGTATCTGGGAGGATAGAGAGGTTTTCATTTACTAAGACTTTGATAAGTTAATTATGATGCAGTAATGTTATGGTAATGACTCTACAAATAGAATCAGAATGTATAAGTTACAAACTAGAACTGGTTAAAAGTGTATTGTGAAAAACTGAGTAAATCAGAAGAAGAAAAGAATAAAGAGATCAACTAATGTGGATTTGTTGGCACATATATGAAAGATAGCATGGGATGCTTCTGTTGAATATAAATGGATAAATGCTTCAGTTAAAAACAGAGAGCCAGCTTGGATTAGTATTCCAAGTATGTGCTCTTTATAATATATGCATCTAAATTATAGAAGCAAGTGGCAGAAAATCAAGGGAGACAAAATTATATGCTATGCCAACATTAATAAGGAGAAAGCTGGAGTAGTCCCAGTAAGGTCATACAAAATGCATGTTACTACATCATTCCATTTATGTGAAGCTCTAAAGAAACTGTCTTGTTTAAGAATAGATATACAGCCCTGGCCGGTGTGGCTAAGTGGTTAGAACATTGGCCTGCACACCAAAAGGGTCATGGGTTTGATCCCTAGTTCTGGTCAGGGGCATGTGTGGGAGGCAGCCAATCCATGTCTCTCTCTCTCTGTCTCTCCTCCCCCCGTTCCACTCTCTCTAAAAGTATCCTCGGGTGATGATGGGAGCTGGCTACGTGTCTGATAGAGTCCACAGAGCCTGCAGGTCTTGAGTCAGAGATTCAACCTCCCCCACAATCTCAAGAAATTAGGCTTGCACTGTGTTTGTGCAGCTCGGGTCTAAGTGTGACCCAATGTACCTTGAAATACCTGAGATAACAGACTGGGTGTTCCTGGGTGCTCCTGTTATCCACAAGGCAAACTAATTCTATACAGCATTGTTGTAGCCCTGGGCATTATAGCAAGAAGACCCTATTTTCTTATATCACTAAACTTTTGCTGTAAGGTATAACAGGCACGTAATAAAGCATATCGAGACTAATCCCACCGAGGACAGTCCTGAACCCATGTCTGTGTCTTTGTCTTCATTCCCACCGCTCGAACTCAGGGGCTCTGCTCTCCAGGCTGGTTCTTGGCAAAGTGGCGCCCGAACAGGGACCTGAGTACTTGAAACGCAACTGAAGGTAAGGTGCGGAACTCCTCTAAGGGAAGGGAGAAGAGGAGCACTAGATTAAATAGTCAGGAGTAAAAGAAAATGGAACAAGCAGGGTCATCTCAGCGCCTTTTTGCACAGCTGATTCGGTCTATGCTCCGGGCAAGGGGAGCCAAGGTATCTGAGGAGCGAATACTTAAAATTTTAAATTTTATTGAACGGGTTTGTCCTTGGTTTCCAGAGGAAGGAACAGTTAACTTGAAAACGTGGGAAAAGGTAGGAGAAAAATCAAGAGAATGGTATACTGCTCATGGCCCCGACAAAATTCCTGGAGGTACATTTTCTCTGTGGAGTCTAGTGAGAGGTTCATTGGACCCCACTCATGAAGCTGAGTGATCCCCGAGAGAAGTGGAAAAGCCTCTTAAGGCAGAGAGGGAAGAGAGGGATTCTGAATGGGATACAGAGGAATTAAGCCCCCAAGATCAGGAGGAGTTAGATAATGCTGCAGCTCACGGTCATGATGAGGGCTGGGGGAAGCCCCCATAGATAGTGTGGGCAGCTTCCTCAGCTGGTACAGTCCCTAAAAAGGCCTCATCTACTGAGGCCTATCCCTCTGCTCCTATTGCTCCTGCTTATTTCCCCTCAAGAGGAAGTGGGAGGATTATGACTACTGGGGACAGTCCGTCGCCGCTGCAATGAGCTCTAATTCGAGCAGAGGACCGAGGGGAGGACGTCTGAGATTCGGGGTTTCACTCATTCCCAGTAGTAGAAGCACATGATCCTAATAATCCTGATCAAGTGCAAAGGTCACATTCTCCTCTATGAAGATATTAAAAGAGCTGAAAACTGCCGCAGCCCAGTACGGGCCCACGGCGCCGTATACTCCGGCGGTTCTAGAAGGAATTTCAGGAGAGGCGCTTGTCCCTAATGGCTGAAAAACATGAGCGAAAGCCTGTCTTGCGGAAGGGGTCACCTGACTTGGAAAGCTGAGCACTGTGATCGGGCCTGTCGGGTGCCCGCCGCGATCAGGCTGACACTATTCCCACTACTGTGACATGTTAGTAGGAGAGGGGGCATATCTCACTAATAACGCTCCAGCTGTATTCCCGGGAGAAGCTATCAGACTGTTAATGCTGTAGCACTACGTGCCTGGGGAGCTCTACCGACTACAGGAAAGACAGAGGAGCTATCAAAACTTAGACAAGGGCCGGATGAACCATACGCTGATTTCGTAGCTAGACTAGCACAGGCCTCAGGAAGAACAGTTGCAGATGAGGAAGCAGGCAATATCCTAATGACTCAACTGGCTTTTGAGCATGCAAATCCTGCCTGACCGGCGGCTGTTCGACCCTGGGAGCAAAAGGGAGATGTGGATGATTATATCAGGTTATGTGCAGGCGTAGGTCCCTCCCACATTCAGGGTCTTACCCTTGCAGCTGCTTTGCAGGGAACTACACTGCAAGGGCTAAGACAACAGCAGCAACAAGAAAAAAGGGGAAAAGGAAAATGTTACAACTGTGGAAAGATAGGTCATTTTAGCAGAGAATGTCGCTTGAAAGGGGAGGTCAGTAATCATGTACAGGGTAGCTAATCAACGCCTGCCTGGCCTATGTCCAAAATGTCAAAAGGGAAACATTGGGCTAATGAATGTAGGTCAAGAACAGACAAAGATGGGAATCCTCTTAGTCAGCAGGGAAACTCCCGACGGGGCAGCTTTGACCCTGCAGACAATTGGGGCAATGTCGGTGTTCATGTCACAAACCTACCCGGCCGGCGAGGGGTACAGGACCTCTACCGAGCCACCCCAGGGAGTGCAGAACTGGACATCAGTGCCTCCTCCTGCTTTGAGTTTACACCTGAAATGGGACCTCAAACTCTTCCTACTGGAATGTATGAGCCTCTGCCCTCCAGGGCAGTAGCACTATTATTAGGAAGAAGTGGACTCACTATGAGAGGGCTGCAGGTGTTACCTGGAGTCATAGATCATGGTTATACAGGAGAAACTAAAGTCATGTGTACAGCTCCTAGAGACATTATAACTATTACAGCAGGGGTGAAAATTGCACAACTAGTGTTAGTTCCTCTGAAAGTTACAAGACAAATTCTATCCTCTCAAAACAGGGGTCTCATGGATTCAGTTCCACTGATGCAGTATATTGACTGCAAGCCATCGGTTCTCAACGACCAGAAAGAATGTTAACTATCAGTGGGAAAAGTTTAAAGGACTCTCAGACACAGAGGCCATGTATCAGGAATAAGTCAGTGTCACTGGCCTGACTCATGGCCAGGAACCTCGGCTATGACCTCTGCAAGGAACAGGACAAACACACTCTCCCTCACAAAGCTCGCAGATTTTAACCCAGCAAGATGATGAAGGAGAGACAGGACAATTTCAACCATATGTTTTGCCATTCCTCCCAGGAAACCTGTGGGGAAGAGATATACTGCAAGAAATGGGAGTATTAATTTATCGTCCTAATGAGAAAGGAGCTAAACAAATGTTAGATCAAGAATATCTACCTGGAGCCCTGGTTGGTTTGGCTCAGCGGTTAGAGCGTCCGCCTGTGGTCCGGAGAGACCCGGGTTCGGTTCCCGCTAAGGGCCTGTACCTCGGTTGCAGTTTGTCCCCGGCCCTGGTTGGTCGTGCGGGTGGCAGCCACTCGATGTGGTCCTTTCACATCGATGTTTCCCTCTCTCTCTCTTCCTCTCTCTCCCTCCCACTCTGTCTGTACAAAAAATGGAAAAATGTCCTCGGATGAGGATTTAAAAAAAAAAAAAAAAAGAATATCTACCTGGAGAGGGACTGGGCAAGCATGGTCAAGGCAGGGAAGTCCCTATACAGCCTAAAGACAATCAGGATAGACGAGGTTTAGGATATGAGCACAATGTATAGCAAGGGTCACTGTTATTCCTGCCTCCCTTACTGCAGACCCAACAGTCTGGTTAAGAAATGACCCAGTGTGGGTGGAGCAGTGGCCTTTGGCCTCAGAAAAAATAGAAGCTGCTCAACAGCTGGAGCAAGGACACACAGAATCCTCTGACAGTCCCTGAAATACTCCAGTTTTTGTAATTAAGAAAAAATCTGAAAAATGGAGATTGCTGCAAGATTTGCGACCATGCAGCTTATGGGACCTTTGCAGCCAGGCCTTCCCTCTCCTGTAGCCATTCCTAAGGGACCTCATCTTACTGTAATTGATTTAAAGGATTGTTTTCTCACCATTCCATTACATCCAAAAGATCGAGAGCAATTTGCGTTCAGTGTCCCTTCAACTAATTTTAAGGAACCTGTGCAAAGATATCACTGGAAAGTCCTACCCCAGGGTATGGCTAACAGTTCCACATTGTCAAAAATTTGTTGCTCTGGCCATCGCTGGCACGTGAGCCGCCTTTCCGGAAGCTTATGTTATTCATTATATGGATGATATTTTGTTTGCACATGAAGATCCTGTTCTGTTGCGAGATAGTTATGCTTCTCTGCAGGAACAGTTGCAGCAACACGGCTTAATCTTAGCGCCTGAAAAGGTGCAACAAACAGCCTCCTATAATTATCTAGAAAAAGTAATTGAAAGACAAAAGATAAAACTTCAAAAGTTTCAGTTTAGAACAGACCACTTACAAACCTTAAATGATTTTCAGAAATTACTGGGAGATATAAGTTGGTTAAGGCCTTCCCTGGGTATTACTACCCAATTTGAGAATTAAAACCCCAATTTGACATATTAAAAGGAGACTCTAATCCAACTAGTCCTTGTCAATTAAGTAACGATGGAAAGGCAGCATTAAAAGTAGTAGAAGGACTTCCGGTCAAGATGGTGGCGTAGGGAAACGCAGTATCGTGTTCTCCCACAACCACATCCAAGTTACAACAAAACTACAGAACAACCATCATCCAAAACCGCCTGAAATCAAGCTGAACGGAAGTCCTACAACTACAGAATTAAAAAAAAAAAAAGCAGCTACATCCAGACCGGTAGGAGGGGCGGCGGCGCGAGGGGTGGCGGCAGCGGCGCAGTGGCGCAACGGGCTGGTCCCACACCCACGTGTGGCGGATAAAAATCAGGAGGCTCCCGCGGCTGGGAAGGTCCTTCCTGAGGACTGAGGGGTCCCCGTTCCACACCAGGTGCCCCGCTCAGGTTTCCAGTGCCAGGAAGAGAAGTCCCCATAACTTCTGGCTGGAAAAACCAGCAGAAACTGAGGCTCAGGGAAGCTGACGCGGCTGGAGCCCCAGGCAGCTCCTTAAAGGGCCCGCGCACGGGACTCTCTCCCTCTAAGCTCGGAGGGGAGGCAGCTCGAGGGGCACCAGAGACACACAGGGAAGAACTGAGCTGTTTGGCACTGGAGCGAGGGCTGGAGAGGGGGCTTTCTCGGGGACAAACGTGCTGTAAGAGGCCTTTGTTCCTTTGGTGAGCCCTTCCCTTGGGCGGCAGAGAGTCGCCATATCTGGGACTCCAGCAACCTGGCTCACACTGGTAGCCCCGCCCTGCTGACTCCCTGAGGCCCCGCCCTGCCCCGCCCCACACAACTTTCAAGCCCACCCAAGCTGTTGCTACTTGCTTAACCATAGGATTGGCCTGTCTTGGATCCTGCTTCAGGTTTTTCCTAAATTCTTTCAAACGAGCAGCATCGGGTCTCAGCGAGCCCCATACCTCTCATTAAGTAATACACAGAAACAAACACAGGG